CAAGGAAAATTAAAAAAAAAAAAAAAAAAAAAAACTTTTCCAATGGACAATAAGAGCAGTCGAGCTATAATTAAAAAAAGAGGAGACAATTTAGCCATCAAAACACTGTTCTTTACGCTCAATTTTGAACCAAGGAAATTCAAATAGTCTGTCACAGACAATCCCACACTTTGGAAGCAAATGGAAAAGCCAGAAAAGATGAGAAAGGTCCTCTCCATCACATTTCCACGTGACATGTGCACACCTACTAGCCAAGAAAAAAATGAATCTTCGTGATTTTCAACTTCCACAGTTTGAAATGTAGTTATAACTGTGTGTTAAAGAGTTTCTATTATGTATAGAGTTTGTGTTAGAATTTTGCAAATAGTGAATAAAATGGTCATTTTTTCAACCCAAATGGACATTGAAAGTGTGGGAACTAAAATGGACAAAAGTTGAAAGGATAGGAACCAAAATGAACAATCTGAAAGTGAAAGAACTAAAATGTACCGAAGTTAAAAATATAAGGACCAAAATAGGATTTAAACCAATATTGTAAACCACAAAAAACAATCTTATGCTTTGGAGAGAGATTGATCGTTTGGATTAAAAGAAGACACTCACACACCAATCTCATGTATAAGAAGGGCTCAATGAAAATCTAAATCAAAAGAAGGGGCTCTCCCCTAATCAAATAACCAAAGAAACCATAAGAATTGAGACTGTTATTCCCATTCCATATAATGTTGTTGATTATCTCAAGGGTGGTTACTAGAGTTCACTTGATTTGAACTTGTCTTGTTCACTTATTTAGGTTCGTCTTTGAACTTTTTCTGGATAGTGTTACAATTCTCTCCATAAACTCCTAAATTTCTTGGAATAACGAACTATCTGTTGAATTGTTTCTTCCTATTTTCACCCATCAGTTTCAGCAAACTAGTGTACTTTGAGCCTATTGCAAATAGTCCAACTCTTCAGTCTTCACACACACAAAAAGAAAGGAGGAAAGAATTAAAGAAAGAAAAAAGCAACAAATGAACAAGCATAAACACCTTTTCTCAGTGGAGACATTCAAATGAGTTTTTTACATTCTAAGTTGCCAAATTTGAGATAAATTAAAACCCATAAAAGTTAGTCCAGTATCCATTTCAGCGAGCTTCAAAGAGGTAGCAGGGCCAATTGGAAAATACAACATTTTGGATAGTGTTTAATCATTAAGAAGAGAAACATGTGCTATGAGGGTAAAAATTTACGAAAATGACCAAGTCGTTTGGAACCTGTTTTTCTGAACAAAAATCCGAAATTCTCAACAAAAAAAAAAAAGAAAAAAGAAAGACTCCTTGATTACCTCTGGGTACGATGATTACCCTTTAATGTTGAATATTCTCTACTTCATTGTTAACAAAACTACAGATAAAATCTATCAGTTTGGCTTCCTAGAGTCGTGATTTTTGGTTTGGGTGATTTATTAACACGGGATGAGATTTTTTCGTTCATTCATTTCATTTGATCTCCTCGTTTTTAATCAGTGGAAATTCTACTCGTTAGTAGACATTTATCAGAAGATGGTTACTGTAATTATAATGCATAACGACCCCTGCTGCTACACCAGAGAATTGAAACTAAACTGCATGCAGAAACTTCCTTCACAGCTTCTCATAAATCAAGACCGCTCACTGGATAAACACGGAGTCAAACTAACCATTCTTTCAGATCCTACATAGAAAACGAGCTCGTTTTCGGGAAAAGAGGTTTTTAGATTTCGAATAATTTGCTCTCCATGCTTTCAGTAAGAATCACCAAACTAACCTTCCAAATTACTCTCTCAATACAAGACAAAAAAAAAAAAAAAAAAAAAAAAAA